CCCCAAAACCCCAAAACCCCAAAACCCCAAAACCCCAAAACCCCTTTAAATATTCCTATTATTGGAATCTAAATTATAACTAGCACCGAAATGGTGTTTTTGGAGATCTTCAAAATTTTGGAAACACTCAAAAATTACGTCAATTCTAAAGACTATGGGAGTTAAAACTGGCAGCAATATTATATTAGCGAAGGAAGTTAGGCTCTGACATAGCATTAGAATGAGCTCTTGCTTGTCTCTTAGCTCTCTTCTTCCTTCTCTTCCTACTCTTCTTCTCATCAATAATTGGCTTGGATATAGCCATGAAGATATCGAAGAAGTTAGTCTCCCTCTTTTCAGAAATTTCTTCGTTCATTGAATTACCTCCTGACTCCTTAGTCTTCTGGATCTTGGTTGATGTGTTTCCAGACAAGGATACCTTTCCGGCTGATGACTTCTGATAATCTGTCAAGTGTGACTTTATACTACTGCTCCTCTTGGAATTCTTAGGTTTGAAGCGATCATTCTTATACGTTGTTAAAAAATTCTTAAGCTTCCTCTTTTCTTGAGATCTCTCCTTTTCAGGGTTTTTAGGTGCAGGCTCTGTATATATCTTATCGTTTTTCACATAATTAACAGCATGGAGTTTATTTTCTCTTTCTCTTTGCCATCTATTGTATCTTTCTTCTTCACTGTCAACGCTCGATGTCCTCTCACGATTGCCTGTATAATCCTGTAAATTCCTCCTTTTGTTATAATTTGGTTCGATCGTCTTGGTGATTTCGCTGGAAGTTATAGTTTCTTCTATATCTTCTCCTCTGATGATTCTTTTCTGTCTGTCATATTTTGATCTTTCCTAAAATGGTTTTATTCATGCTCAAATTAGAGAGGAAGCTTACCTTGTTAAGGGGAATACTAATTTCAGAATATTTATCCTGGACATAGCTGGTCTCTGTTCCTTCATCACCATCGAGCAAGGGTAGGGTAATTTCATCAAGTCCGCTTTCGGAACATCCATCAACATCTCTGGTTTTGAACAGTCTCTTGGATTTCTTGTTTGACTTGTTCGAAACCTTCCCAGTCATCTTGTAGGTTCAGAAAGCAGCCACTAAAGAAGCTCCAATGCCAAGAGCAATGAGGCCTTTTTCTCGATCCATGGATAATAATTATTTTAATTTCAATATAGATTTCTATTTATGGGGTTTTGGGGTTTTGGGGTTTTGGGGTTTTGGGG